TTATTAACTGATTGTTGAGTTATGCATTTCAGTGGTGGATGAAGTTATTCCCACAGTCTGTGTAAACCATGATGGGATTTTTTTGACTGGAAAAGCATGAGTTACTTTTACTGAAAGCTTGTGTTCTGTTTTCTGTGGACACAGAATGGACTCTCTCCACTTCACATGGCTGCCCAGGGTGATCACGTGGAATGTGTCAAACATCTACTGCAGCACAAAGCTCCTGTTGATGATGTCACACTCGATTATCTTACAGCTCTACATGTTGCTGCACACTGTGGCCATTACCGTGTCACCAAACTACTCCTGGACAAGAGAGCAAATCCCAATGCTCGTGCTCTGGTAAACCTGTCCCATACATCTAACGCGATATGTCTGCAAATGGGAGATCTGCCTCAAAAAAGCCAACTGAAGGCCCCATTCAGCAGATTCTATTGAACCATATTGAGTGTAGTGCTTACTGCTCTGAGCAGTCCTGTGTAGGGCCAATGCTTTAAGTCCTGGTTAAAACTTAATGTAGGGCTTTTTCTTCAGTGGGACTACTCCAAGGTAGCAAGCATAGTGTTCAGTAAAAATTGTCTGCATAATTAGGTCTGGAAACTGCACAGTTCTCAGAATCACAGAATCACAGTATCGGTGATTCCATGTATTTGGCAATATGGCCTTTTGTTCTATACCATATAGTTGTGCAGTTCACATTTTTGATCATTTTAACTGAATGAAAGTGCTAGTTGGCAGGAAGATCATTCTTCTGCACATGGTAGGACTTTTAAATAAAATTAATTAGCAAATATTTTTGAGAAAGGGCAGAATATTACGGGGGTTACATTTAACACATGTATTTTTAGCAAATATTGCTATTTAAAATGTCCGTTGTTTTGGTTTTTTATTTTACTGGTGTGAAAATGAAAATATCATATATATAATTTAATTTGCTCAGTGACCTGCCCATTGTCTCCTAAACTGCCATTAAAATGTCCCATTTGGCTTTATAAATGTGTAAAGGCTTCAGAAGTTGTTAATCCTGTACTCCTACCATACACAAAACTCCCATTGACTCCAGTAAGTGTTTTGCTGATGTACTGCTGATTATGTATAGGTTGGAATTTTAAATAATGAACAAATTACTCTTGATTCAGTTATTGGAGAGTGGCAAGCACTGCAGAGTTTGAGCACCTAGGAATTACAAAGTAATTAAAGTGCTCAGCGTGGACTCTACCTTTTGCCTGTTGCACTCAGTGCCTTGCATGTATCATATGTCTCTTCCCCCAGCCTTTTGCACCCTGTGTTGTAGCCTGGAGTCCCCTTCCTTTCCTTTCCCTGCCCAGCCCTCGTCCCATGTATGCCCACTTCTCTGTTCCTGCCCTAATCTCCATGTGCCCTCTTGCATTTCATACCCTTTCTGTACCCCAAATCTCCTGTTCTTTGCCATAGCTCCTCTTCTAGATCTTCCTACCCAACAACTTCCTCTGATGCCTTATCTATCTTCCTCAATGCTCATTTCCTTCTCAGCTACACATTTTTGTTACCAGTCTTTAGTACATTTTTCTTAGTGTCCTTCACATATCCTCTATACACCCGCTTCAGTCTCCCATCTTTCTTTTATGTCTAGCTGGGCATTCCTGGATATCCTACCAGCCTTTTCATGCCTTTTCTTTATTCCTTTTTTACTCAGATTCTGCTTTTATCACACTCCAGGCTCTATCAGCTAACTTTCCTCCTTCAAATGCATCTTCTCTTTCCTCCTCAATTCTGTTTCATCCATTCATTTATTGTCCCCAAGTCTATGGTTCCTAGTCCTCTTACCATCTCTACTTCCTGTCCAGCTCTTTCCCATCTGTGCCATTCACCTCTGCCTTCTTTATAGTTAAAATGATGGTCTCTACACACTAAAAAAGATCATTTGTATATACCACCTCTCTATTGAGCCCAGAAATACTTCTGCAAAGTATACCCCATGCATTTGTTCCCCCTCTACATGCACCAAATCCTGGAAATGAAGCAATGTAGGTACGTTAAAGTGGCATGATAATAAGCCTGTCCAAGACAGAAAGTCTAAGAGTGAGTCTGGGCACAAACTCAAGGCCAGTCCAAAGTAGCAGAATTGTCTCATTTATAGGATTTGGCATACATAGGATAAGAGTGAGTAAGGGTACTGTTGGGCTCAGCACAAAAGTTCAAGCACCTCACCTCCAGAGGGCCAACAAAACGAACCTGACAAAATAAACAGAGAAGGTCTGACATTTCTGAAACACTGCAGCTTTCTATAAAATGGACCCAAGGATGTGACACAGTGGGTGAAATTTCCACAGGCACTGGTTTCTTTTTGGAGAAGTAGAAGAGTAACAATAAGCGTTCTAATGTGTAAGTTAGCTTCAGCATTAGCAATGCAGTGACTACTCTTGCTCCATAACATTCAGCATGATAAACATTATAATTCATTAGAAATAATTCATTAGAAAGCTTCTCTATCCTTCTTCAAAGAGAAGAGAACAGAATCAAATGACCAGAGAGCAATAAGCAAATGAGTCTGGGGCTTTTAGCATTTGGAGTTGCTTGTTTATAAGGACAATGTTGAGGAAAGCAGATATAACCATAGGGATGCTGGAGGCAAGGCATCTCTGTACATTTTACTTTGGGAGCACCTGAAGAAATGTTATCTAATAGTTCAAATGTGTTTGCAGATAGGCAAAGCGGAGAACTCTAGGACAGCTGATCAATCCCTGCTAGAAGTACTGACAAACTTTTGATGAGATGAATCTATGGTTTGTTCTTTAAGGCTAAAACATGAAACTGTCTGGATTAATTAGTTAATTACTATTATTTTAAAAATATTTTCATAAAAGGAAAAATCATGACTAATTCATTTTCAGACAGATGTTCTTGAAGCAATTAGTTAATGTTTGTTAAATTCTCTGAAGATATAAACATATGTTCCTAGGTTTTGTGATGATTATGCATTTAAAGCATGTTAATGTCAACCTATAGGTAACATTTGTGTTAATAGATGCTAATAAGGGAGTATAACAGCTGCTATCTCTGTTTCTTTATAAGCTAAGATTTCATCGGCATTAACTAGCTTTACTTCTTGTTCAGTGTCAGCAATTCTTATCTCTATCATTAAAACAAATTGTGACAGTCTAACATTGTCTTAAAAATTGTGTTTTTCAAGAAGTGTATACTGAAGATTGGGTTCTCTAAGTCTTCCTACCTCTTGTTGCTCTGCTGATGACCCAATCCAGCACCTATCAGTATTCAACAAAGAACTTGAGCCTCTGCTTTAACCTCATTGAATTGAATGGCAATTTTTTTGAAGTTGAGGATGTGCTTAAATACTTAATCAAATAGTAATGCACCAAAACACAAAAAGAAATGCTTTGTTGAATACCTGGGCCTCTTTATGTTACTACCATGAGTATTTCCATTGAAGTGAATAATAATAGTAAGGGAATAGGACAGAGTTAAGTGTTGTTTAAGCTGCCTCATAGGCATGCATGTATACAAATACCAACAAGTATATTAGCTACCATGCATTAATATAAGCTGATATATGGACAGCTACATTTTGATGATATAGATATGGATAATATAGACTGATATATGGATAAATATAGAAGGTTGAAAGTCTTTTTTTATAGAAATAGAAATTTTACTGGAGGAAAAATGGTCAGTAAAGGGTAAGGCTTCTACGTTTGTTATGAAAGATGTGAAACATTTTCAAAGGTGTCACCTTCATCTCTTGATGTCACCTTCATATACGCCTTTTTCCTCTAGTCGGTAGTAGGTATAATATTTTTGCAACATGCTTTCTGTTACAATATTGACAGTCAGAATGAGAATGCCCATGATTAGTTTTCCATTTTTTCCCCAGTATGGAAACTGAGGAGTGGGGGTTACTAAGACTATAGCAGCCCACATAATGCTATTGCTTAGTCTTTTCACCACTGTCCTGTAACAGCTGTGTCTGAGGAACAGTGGGATCAGATATTCTAACGCTTCTGCTTGCGGTACACCAGCATGATGCTGTGTGGGAACTGCAGCTGCATGTTTTTAACTAACATGATTGTCTTTTGCACAGAATGGTTTTACTCCACTGCACATTGCCTGCAAGAAAAACCGCATCAAAGTCATGGAACTCCTGGTGAAATATGGGGCTTCAATCCAGGCAATAACAGAGGTAGAAAAGTATTTTGTCTCCTCCAGAAACATACCTTCTTTCTCTTTCTTTCTGTTAAAAATGTCTTCCTCTTTCTTATATCATTTGCACGTACATTGTATTAAAATGAAGAAGCCCAATCCCCCTCCCCCCTGTGCAGAGGAGTAAAACTGCTGTTGCTTTGTTTCGCAGTCTGGCCTCACACCAATACATGTGGCTGCATTTATGGGCCACTTGAACATAGTCCTCCTTCTGCTGCAGAATGGAGCCTCTCCAGATGTCACTAACATTGTGAGTATGGCTTGGACTAGAATAATCACTGTGCCAGCTCCCACAGCAAGCGGCTGAGCTGCCATGCAACCCAACCAAAGGTCACATTTTAGTGTTTAGAGTATTACTGAATGAAATTCTGTGACATCCTCCTATGTGTGTCAAAAGTTTGTGAAAGGGAAAAGCTGGTTAGGGAACAGGCTCAATAATTCTTTTGTGGTATTATAGCTTTAGCATGTTTCTCAACAGCACTTGCACTGGTAAACGGTTTCCTTTGAAAAGGGATCTTATCAGGGTTATTGGAGCACTGGATGGAAGAGTTTTCCTTTTGGTTCTGAATGCTGCAAAAGGCCCAAAGTAAATAGATAGTTATCGTAACTTCAGTGAAGTTGTGCCATTAAATAGACAAAGAGCTTATAAAGATTTAAACTTACTCTCCTAAATTTTTTAAGTAAAAACTGTTCCTTTAAAGGGAACTGGTCCTTTATTAAGAATGGATGTAATTTCTTCAGAAAATTTCTTTTTTTTTTTTTTTTAAGTATAGGAAATGTGACCTTTGGAAGGTAACACTAAATGCAGGTCCTGACTTGCCATGGAAGTTAGTGTTTGCATATCAAACATCCCGTTACCCAGGAATAAATCAGATCATGATGGTTTCCTGGGTTTCTGTTACATGGATATCTTATTGTTTGTTTGAGTCTTTTAATATAGATAAATGTTAACTTGTTCTTCTGTTCTTTTCCCATAAGTAATATTTTAAATATAAAGAGAAATGTCCCATAACATTAATTCATATGCACCTAGCTGGCCAAGCTTTTTTCTTCTAGAAAAACAAACCAGTCTGGGGGATCCAGTGACAATTTTTTTTGTTATTTGAGTAGAGACAAATTTTGTTCATGTTCATTGTTCAAAAATGGTCACTGCTTTTGTACTTTCACTGTGAAAGTGATATTTAGTTAGTTACAGTATCAATAGTAAAGTACCAAGTAATGTTGTGAAGGAAACTAAGTCGAGAAAGGAGTAAAGTTGATAATGCAGATATTTTACATAGTTTAATGCCAAATTTAACACTTTACAATTATCTGTGCTAGGTCGTTGTCTCAGCTTCTCATTTTGTAAGCTAAGCGCTCCTAGTTGAATCACCAATTATCTTCAAATTACTAAATTATACTACTTATTAAAGTATTAATTTTACAAATTGCTGCAAGCATAGGATTGATAGAAATTCATCCTTAATAGAATGAAAATTAAATGTTTATTCACATTTGTAAACAGGACATTCAGCAGATAATAGCAAGATACATGACCAAGTTCCACATTCAAGTCCCTCAGTAAAAGGATTGCAAGATTTTTTTTTTCATTGTTCATTTACTAACCACAGCTGCTGATCTGATGTAGATTTCAAAATGAGCTTAATTAAATCAACTCCCAGTGAGAAGGGTTTGATGAAGTCCTAAGCTGTGGTAGATTTGAGTTACTTTTTTCACTCTCCCGGTAAGCAACAAAAACTCATAGTATGTGATCAAGTGGTGGAGACTCAGTTTCTAAGTGAGAGGGAGGGAAAGCCTGTGCTAGAAAAATTATATAGCTTAGTTAGATAGGGTCTCAGTGGTAAAAACTCTGGGCTCACAAAAGGTAGCTATCCATAGAGCAGAAACAGGGGCTTCCTCTTTATATAAGCAGCTGGCAAATAAGGTACTCGGTCACCAAAAAGCATTCACATGAGGAAAAATGTTGGGCTGCTATCTGTCCTGCTGTGTTATCAAAATAGAGAAGGCAAAGAATCTTCTTGTTGCAATATGGCAGTGTCTGGCATAGCAGGCTCAGACATTGTCTGAGCAGGGACTCCCATGGTCTATTGTATGAAATTGTCCTTCAAGAAGGTGTTGCACTGTGAAATTAAGCCATCCTTTCCATCATTTGGGGCTATTATGCTTTAAAGTTCCTGTGTAAATATAGAGAAAGAAAGTAAATATTCATTACTTTTTTGCTTTGTTACCCTCCTCCTTGTGTTATATAATTCTCAAACTTCCTAAGTGTTATATGCCCATCTCAAATTCTGCCGGCTATAAGGCATGATTAAATAAGTTTCATTGCACAGCCTGCAGATAAAACCATGCTGGTGACCGCAGGTTTTGAACACTCTCCACATATTGGCTCAGTCTTGCGCAAACATTGCAAAGCCTGTCTGAAGCTGCCAGCTTTACACAGTATGCAGGAAGAGACCATCTGGAATAACGTCCCCTTCCATCTTGAGGCGCATGTGTTCGGCAGTCTCTTGAGGATCAGGATGCTCTTATCCCCCTGCTTATTTTGAGGCGTACCACAAGCTGAAAGCACCATTATGGGGAAAGCCAGTGAATACTTGTGATTAGGAGGGGCTGTCATGCACAGTTCCATTTAAAATAATTTTGAGCTGAATATTCTCTGGCTGCATTGCTGGAGCATAGTATGGCATTGTTAACCTTTTTTATTTTTTGGTAAGACTCTGAGTGTGAAATTCTGACTGCACTGAAGTCACAGTAAGCTCCCGTTATCTACAAGAGAATCAGGATTTCACCCTTAGGCAATGTTATTTTTGTAATCACTGCAGCAGTAAGTGATACACAGCCTAACCCTCACAAGACGTATGTACTTGTGCTTCTGAATCTGTTATAGAGCCTGAATCACCAGATCAGCTCTATTTGAAGTCAATAGAATTTACACAAGCTGAAAATTACTTGCTTAAGATGTTAAAATCTTTGCTTTTTTGCAGCGTGGGGAAACTGCACTGCACATGGCTGCGCGTGCTGGGCAAGTGGAAGTGGTCCGCTGCCTCCTGAGAAATGGTGCCCTTGTCGATGCCCGAGCCAGGGTAGGTGTTCTAGTGCAGTTTATTCTACCTTCTCTTTTACTTAAAACACAATGAAATAAGCAAGTATAATAAGGAGAGAGGGTTTTTTCCTTGCAGCAATAGCGCCCCACCCCCCCCCCGAGCTGATGCATAATTATCTGATTTCTGGATGCAAAGCCAAATAGTTTTCAGTATAATCCTGTAATATAACTTGCTTACCTGTATTATTTGATCCTTCCAAATAGAGCAGATCTGATTTAGAAACGGAGTGGCTGGGTTCTAACTCAGTAGCAGGGTATCCAGCTTAAACATGACAGTATCATTACGCACACAGCCCCTTGTGTTTCTAGGCCTCTTTCTCCTCCAAGCACCATTGGATTCTATGTCAAGAGCTGTTGTTTATTATGGTTAAATAGCAATTTCTTTGGCAAATGCTTTCCATGTGATTCTGTGACTGTAATACTGATTTTTAAATGGTGATTGTTCACACAAATCACAGTAGAAGCTTTAAAGAAAGGCAAGATTGAGGAAATTCCAAAACGTCAAGGGGAATACTTTCTCTTTTGGAGTACAAAGGAGCATTTCTGTATTGGTTACTGTTTGGTCAGCTCTGTCACAGAGTTATAACAGGCATCTCCAGGCACTGGCCAGTGGCTGTACCAGAAATTTTCCTACCACCTTTATGAAAAAGTGGATTTCAGAAAAAAAAAAATCAATACATGACAATGGAAAGGTCGTTAAGGTTCTGCAAAGATGCACTATAAAATGTACATGCAGTTTGAACCTGAAATGTGACACAGTTCTTAGAAATTTTTCTGTAAGAGGGAGGGTTCCACTATCAGGCTGAGGATTTAAGTTATGCTTCCTCTGCTCACATGCTGGATCCAGATCTATTGATGTACCGCATGCAAGCATATCATTGTAGTGCCTCTGGGATTATTACATATCAAAGGGCTTTTTTTCCATGACAGTAATCAATTAAGGGGTTGTATGTAATCAGCCTGAATTTAAATATGCACTTGATATGCCAGGCCAGATAAAGAAAGAAAATGAGCACAAATGCAGAATAGTTAGAAATTACCTCCAGAGTGCCAGCTTAAGAAACTAATGGGACTACATGTCAAGTAAGATACTACCAAATATGGATAAGGATGTCATAAAGTAGGAATGCAAAGAAAGCTGAGTAGTGCCATGGTGCAAGCAATCTGCATTCGGATTTAAAGATGAAAAGAGAAACAATCTTTTTCCCTGAGCTTCTTCCCTTTAGTTATAATAGCAGATTGGTTAAGATGCATACCGGTACCGAGCATTCCCCGAGGTTCTGTTTTAAAAATAAATAAATAAATGTGTAGAAACAACTACTAGAATCACTTGTAATATGGGATACAGGCAGATTCTACCTTCACTAATTATTAACTTGACTTGAGTTGTAGGAGGAACAGACTCCACTGCATATTGCCTCTCGCTTGGGTAAAACAGAGATTGTCCAACTGCTGCTACAGCACATGGCTCATCCTGATGCAGCAACCACGAATGGATATACCCCACTGCACATTTCTGCTAGAGAGGGGCAAGTTGATGTAGCCTCAGTTCTCTTGGAGGCAGGTGCCTTACATTCTTTGGCCACCAAGGTAAGATGCTTGTCATTGCACCGTGCTTTTCATGCAGTAGGGAAGACCTAAATGAGCTGCAGCTATCAAGTCGGGAGACAGCTGAATTGCAACAGGTGCATTTTCACTTAGAACTTGCCTTTTAACGATAATCAGGCATATTAAAGTGCTGTATAGCAAATTCACCAGACTAGCATATTTTTATGATTTTCTGAAGCTGGAGACTTTGGCTGCCATTGGATATATACTGCTGTACTTGGTAATTCATAGATTCATAGATGTTAGGGCTGGGAGGGACCTCGAAAATCATCAAGTCCAGCCCCCTGCCCCAGGGGCAGGAAGTCAGGAAGTCAGCTAGGGTCAGAGGATCCCAGCAAGATAAACATCCAAACGTTTCTTGAATGAGTCCAGAGTAGGTGCTTACACGACTTCTGGAGGGAGTCTAAGACCAATTAAATGGTCTTAACAAATATATAAGTATTAAGTGCTTCTGACAGGGATCTTCTTCTACCTATAGCATTAAAGTAAGAATATTTTTTCATCTATTAACTTTTTTATTCAATGAAAAATGTGAATTTGGTGATACTGAAGAATTTCAGAAATTCATTTCTGTTTCATCAAAAATCCAAAACCAATATTGTTATTAATTTTTTATTTTTTATTTCTATAATTTTATGTATTCTATATGAAATATTCTTATTTTTTACAACAAGCTTTTATTGAGAATTTTTTCAATTATATTTGGCAGAAGACAAGACAAGGTAGTGTATGAGAGACTAACTGATTCAGAGGAGCATAAGCATTTATAGGCAGCAGCCTGTTTCATCAGATGTTGTGAACAACTCATGGACTATTTATCTATTGCCTATCATAAAATAATAGAAAATTAGGGTTGGAAGGACCTCAAGGGTTGGAAGGGATTTAGTCCAGCCCCCTGCTCAAAACAGGACCATCCCCAGCTAAATCATCCCAGCCAAGGCTTTCTCCAGCCAGATCTTAAACACCTCCAAGGATGGAGAGTCTATAACCTCCCTGGGTATCCTGTTCTAGTGCTTTACTACCCTCCTAGTGAGAACTCTTTTCCTAATATCTAACCTAAACTTCCCTTGCTGCAACTTGAGACTGCCAGGCACCTATACACATGCATCAAGGCTGCTCTGACCCACTGTAATTACAGTGCGTTGGAGCAGACTCAGTTAATTGAGGCTGCTAGAGTGTTGTAATGAACATGCTCCAGCAGACTCCAGTTTCATGTGTATCAGTGCCCCCTTGCTGAAAAATGGCAGTGGGGGGTGCTTTAACTAAAACTCGTTTGATGAGCTTTAGTTAAAGCACCCCCAGCACCATTTTTCACTGCAAGGACACTGATACACGTGATGATCCAGGCGCTTTACTTGTAGCTGCTCTCGGAACTCTAATTAAAGCACCCTCCCCTTCCTCCTGGAGCACATGTATAAACACCCATAGTTCCTTGTTCTGTTATCTGCCACCACTGAGAGCAGTCTAGCTCCATCCTCTTTGGAACTACCATTGGTGAATTCATGGTGGTTGTTCCTAATCACCTTCCCCTCCAAATGCTTAGGAATAGATTCCTTGAGGACTGTAGTTTGTAGTTTCCTGGATCCTCTTTCTTCCTTTTCTTAAAGATGGGCACTATATTAGCCCTTTTCCAATGGTCTGGAACCTCTCCTGATTAATTGCCATGAGTTTTCAAAGATAATGGCCAGTGGTTCTGCAATTGCATTGGCCAGTTCACATTGGCCAACTATGAAAGCTTATTTTTCTCTGTACCTGTTAGTCTCTGAGGCTCTCTCTCATTTGTGGCAGTTCTGATTGTCCTGGATTTGGATTTAGATCAAAACAGAAGCAGCACAGTCAATAAATATGATAAAAGGCTTTCACCTAGAAGAAATACAATGTCTGTTTATGGCAGGGGTGGGCAAAATGCGGCCCATGGGCCGGATGTGGCCCAGCAGCCCATTCTATCTGACCCATGGGCCCCTAAAAAATGTAGAAAATTAATATTTATCTGCCCCTGGCTGCCTGTCATGCGGGCCTCGCTGGCTTGCCAAAACTCAGTAAGCGGCCCTCCGCCTGAAATAATTGCCCGCTCCTGGTTTACAGCATAAGGTGCCACCCTGTCCTGCCTTCTACTTGACTTCAGACTAATGCAGCTAACCACCTCCTTCTCCTTATTTTGAAGTTTAAACCATATTTGTTAACAATGGATATCTTCCAGGGTAAATCAGTCTAAATCAGCAGTTCTCAAACTATAATTCATAGATTACTGGGAGTGCCTGCTGTTTTCCTTTTTTCCCAGCTGATAAATCGCATTCAAATATATTAATCTGAAATACACTAAATACTTCCCTAATTTTCCACAGAAATATTTGCTTTAGTTACTGCTGGGTTAGTTAGGTAATCCCATAGGAGATGAGACGGACCACAAGGCTACATTCTCTACTATAATGTGACCCATGCTGTGAAAAAAAATTAGGAACTCCTGCTCTAACTCTTTATAGGTGGGATTTATAGAATCTGATGACAATGAAATAAACACAGCCCACTGCTCAAATGTCAAGCAAATAAGTCAGTGTGGCTACCTAGTGATGTTTGCAGGACACCTATTGTCTGCCACTTTCTTTTCTACACCACTAAACTTTTCTTTTTTTTTTAAATATTAAGAAAAAACAATATTTGATACAGACACTATGTCTAATATTTACTGTCATCTATATTAACGTTTATCAGAAAAAGAGTTTTTTTAAAAAGGACAGCTTTCATTCCTTCTTTCACGGATGTATGCATTTACAAATATTGTCTTGATAGATCCATCTCAGTAGACACCATTTGTTTCAGCAGAGGTACAGTGGCTATATCAGAATGTACTGAACATATGTCATTTGCTGCCAGGAACAGATCAGTGTAGTGGATAAATAATTAAAAATCTGTCACCATAAAACTAAATAAAAATGCATCTGGTTAAAAGCTGATTTTTGAGCACAAATTGAATTGGAGTCTTGCTGTCCACATCATTCATATTGCTGATGGAGACTTCATACTGGATAAAATATTGACTGCTTGCCCCCATGGACATGGGGAAACATATGTCAGAGTTGATTAGTCCTGTTATTGTTTGTCAACATGAAGAAAAGTGGCTGGTGGTTATAACAGGGGTGGGTGATTACTGGGGCTGGAGGGCCACTTAGGGAGTTTTGGTGAGCTGTTGCAGCCTGGGTCAGCACCTCTGTCCCCCCCACCCTCCTGCTGTGTGAGACCAGGTCAGCACCCCCTCAGCCCATCACAGCTAATCTAAAAGTAATTCAAGTGGATTAGAAATTCTTTGGCCGTGTCCAGATGAGCACGGCCATGTGGTATGTGGTGCAGCAGACACATTTTCGGTGCCACATACCACATGCTCAGTTGGTCTCCCTGCTGGAAGGGAGCAGTGTGTGTGTGTGTGTGGGGGGGGGAGAAGGGGTGTTAACCCCTAGATATCCAGAGGTCAAAACAACCCAGAGGAAAAAAAGGTGCAGTGGTGCATGTCGGGGCAGTGTGCGCTGCTGAAAACTGGAGTCAGCTGCCAGCCAGGCTCCATGCGGCAGGATTATCTGCTGGTGCAGACCCGGGAAGCCCTCAGGGCCCCAGGTAAGGCTGCTGAGGCCAACCCCATTGGCCCCAGCCTCCACTATCCCACCTGGGGTAACTAGCTGCAAACCAGAGGGCATTTGGCATAGGTGTTCCCTGGGGGGCAGATGTGTGTGGATGTGGTCCTTAAGTGGTAGATTACTAGACTGGTCTAGGGTGCCACCCACAGTGGTTGGGCGGGATGTGTTTCCATGGAGTGACCTGGGACCCCTGGGGCAAGACATGCCTAGCTGAGTGGATAGATGGGGCTGCAGGTGGGTGGGGAGTAGCATCTGGAAGCAGGATAGGGTGGGGTGGGGACAAGGATGGGTCCAGGATCATGGGGCGGTGACTGTGTGGGGCTGGGCCTGGGGCAGAACCATGATCTGCTCTCCGCATGGCCCCACACTCTCACTGCCCTGCAATCCTGGCCTTGGCCCTGCCTGCCTGTCCTGCGTCCAGGCACTCTTCTCTGCCTGCCCCATCCCATCTGCTCCGCCAAGTGTGCTTTGCCCATGGGGGCTTATGCCAGTCTCCCTAGAAACCTGCCTGCATGCCCACTCTGTCCAGCTCCCCTGGTAGTGGGCACAGGGTGGAAAGTTCAGGGTGCCCAGGCAGTGGGACCAGAGGTAGCAACACTGGCAGTGGCAGCCAGAAGGAGCTGCTGCTGCTGGGAAGTTGAGTCCAGCCACCAAGCCCTGCTGCATACCCGGGGGCAGTGAGACTGGCTGCACGCACCAGCGGTGGCCTAGGCTGCCTCCTGTATTTGGACCAGGTAGGGCCAAGGGACCTGCTACGGGCTGGATAAAATCCCATAGCATTTTGCCCACCCCGTCTCAGAACATTCAAAGCTAAGTAGTGAAAAAAGCAATAGTAAGCAAATAATCTAAGAATGAGAATTACACACACATGTCTGTCTCTTGAAAACTTTTCAGAAGGGATTCACACCACTGCATGTGGCAGCCAAATATGGAAGTCTAGATGTGGCAAAGCTCCTCTTACAGCGTCGTGCTTCTCCTGATTCAGCTGGGAAGGTAATAATTTGGGTCCTGAAATGCAAACATCCAACACTCTTCTGGATTTTCACCATAGAATTAGGGTGGAAAATAAATGTCAAATGAAGAGGCAGTTATATTCACGTTACCAAGTTAACTTCATTTAAAACAGCCCAGGACTCGTAGTAAAGATATCTTTTATTAGACCAACAAGAGGTTTGCAAAAAAAATTCTTTATTTGCAAGCTTTCGAGCACAAACACCCTTCATTAGGCATTGGAGAAAAGATTGTAAAAGTTCTCCTGGGTAGAAATGAAAGTTCATATTTCACAGGATTTCACAGAGGAGTCAGTAGATGGAAAACTCCTTGGGGCAGTCAGTTCATAGCTGGTATGGAGTCTCTCACCTCTATGTGAGGTTTTGTGATGATGCAGATTACTTTGAAACAAAGGCAGAGGCATTGTCTCAGGTTTCAGGTGGTCACAGTTGCTTCTTGCTTGGGAAAATATAAAGATTTCATTTTAAAAAATCAGCTAAAATTTGGTATCTTCCATCTGTCAGGTATCCAGGTTGTAGCCATATTGGTCTGGAGGAAAAAGCAATCAGAACTCGTGGTAGAGATGCTATCTTTTATTAGACCAACAAGAGTTTTGCAAAAAAAATTCTTTAATTGCAAGCTTTGAGGCACAAACACCCTTCATCAGGCACTGGAGAAAAGATTGTAAAAGTTCTCCACATATTCATTGTGATGATTTTTATATACACTTGTCTATGGGGTACTTTTCAGAAAGTTTGCTCTTTTACTTGTATTACAATTAGCATATTTGTGCATGGTTATAAAGGCAAATATTTTATTCGGAATCAAAAAGTGCTTGCTCCATTAGAGAACTTGGATCATAAAACTCACAATTCAGAAATACTGAGATGAGGCCAGATATGTTTGGATTTTTTTGTATGCTGCAAACTTTTATTGTAACAGAGCTTCACTGAAGTGGAGCGTTCAGAACTTGGTTTGCGATAAGTAATAAAGCAAATGCTGGCCAGATCAATTCCATCCTCAGATGCTTGCTCCTTTTCGTTAAGCAAAATACATCCCACTAACTGTTGGCAAATTTTTTATTTCCTGTCTCAGTAAAATTTCTAATCTAAAAGTAATTCAAGTGGAATTAAATTTCATTTGGTTTATTTACTGCTAATCAGTTAACACATAGTGTATTGGCAGCCTAACGGTAGCTTAAGCCTAGCTAACAGCCTAATGCAATAACCTAAAAATGCCCTTTACAGAACGGCCTCACCCCTCTCCATGTTGCTGCTCACTATGACAACCAGAAGGTGGCGCTGCTGTTGCTGGAGAAAGGTGCCTCTCCCCATGCTACTGCGAAGGTGAGAATTCACATCCTTGACAAGTGCTGGCAACATTACATGGAGAGAAGCAGTGGAGTAACCTGAGGACTAGAAATCGATGCAGGAAAGGAGCTGAGCTTTCAAAAACGGAAGCTATAACTCATAGTTCCAGGTGTGCGGCATGTCCTCTGCTGGCCAGGGACTGGATTTACAACCGACTCCTGCTGCTTATTGAATCTATCAGATAAGCGTTAGTCTGTGGCCAGCAGGGGCAGGGAGAAAAAAATGATAGAACTGCGGCACAAAGCAGCATCAGACTATTTCTTCTCCTCTGTATGCTGCCTCCTCTCCTTGTTCTTTACAGGCAGCCAACATTTGAAAGGACAAGCCTATTTAACCCCCTGTGTTGAAAGTTTGGGATGAGATACTGATCCTTTTGCTTCAAATTAACTCCCCTGGTGGAATACTATGGTGGAGTTGATATTTTACAATAATCTACATTTTCAGGAACTTGGAAGTTCCACCGAACTCTGAATTTTGCTCCAGATACTATGTTCAAACCCATGCTATGCATCTGCTTGTGACTTTTGACCCCTGTCCCTCAGCTTGTTCTTGAAAACTATTTGTGATTTTCAGCAGAATGTAAAGTTTCTTCCATATTCAAACCACATGACCACACCTTATTACTGAACCTTAAGGACTCCTGATTATCAAATGTAATGTAATTTATTAAGAAATATATGGAAGATCGCAAGTCCATATGTGATTGTCTGAGTCACTGAGGAGACCTGACTTTATCACTCCCTTGTCTATCCTTAAAAGATCCTATTCTAGCCTTAATGATGCTGTCTTGTTGCCCGTTGCAGTTAAATGCCAAACACAAAGAACCTGATTCTCTTCTTACAGATGTGAATCAAGAGTAAATCTATTAAAGTCAGTGGAGTTACAACTAGTGTATAACTTGTATGAGGGAAAAATCTTACCTCTGAGTGGATTTTATTTATTGATGACATCCCTTTTTGAAGGTTGGATTCAGTGTAATCCAGTACATTACTGAAGACTCAAAGCATATCTACACTCTCTGAAAACAATAAACAATCACCCTACTACAGGGGTTTTCAACCTTTTTGGATCAGTGTACCTCCGGTGGTCGGACATAGGGGGTACCCCCAGTTGACAACCCCTGTCCTACTAGGTCACATTCCTTGTAACTGAATAGCAGAGGCTGTTTTTACCTTGTCTCAGTCTTGTGAATGCAGTTACATTCTTTGATGTATATGAGTCTCCAAATCCAGTTTTAGTTTTATGAGAAGTAATCTGTAAAATGACTTCTATGTTGCATAAGAATGGAAACCTTTCCTTGAAAATACATGTGCAGAAGTCTGCCTTTTATGGAGCTTATTGCAGGATATGGGGCCATATAATATTTTGGTGTTAAATGAAAGAATCTCTGAAAGGAGCTAAAAAAAAATACCTATGAGAATTTTTGGTTGGTTTAAAAATGTTCTCTATTGTGCAGCTCCTGCGATCTACTGAAACTATCCAGTGATTAAGTGGCCTTTTTCAATGTGGGGCAGGAACTGTGGTTTCTGATGTGCGGATGGGAGGACAGCAATAAAAGCCACTACAGGAAGATGTTTTTCCCCAGTTCCCTTCCAAAATCCAGATGATATAAATTTAGTCATGATTGTGTGTGCCCTAGCCCTAATTGTGTCATAGTTCTTTGGAAAGAAGATTAATTGACAAGTAGTGGGACACCATTCTCCTTGTGCCAGTGTATTCTGCTTTATTTTAGATAGTTGTTCATGAAAGAGCACCTCTTTGGGCACCTATACATATGCCCAATGCCTGCTCCGACACATGCTAATTAGCACGCGTTGCTAATTAATCAAGTCTGCTGGAACTTGCAGCCAGGGAGGCACACCATGCACCCCAAGCCGGAGAGCCCCATTAGCTGATCAGGCTTCCAGCTGCGGGGATGCACCGGGTGCTTCCAAGGCTGATCCCAGGCTCCCCTTGCACTGGCAATAAGGCATGATGGGAACTGTTGTTCAACCTCACAATCACACCTCCTGCTATGTATGTCTGGAATGGCAGGAAATGCAGTCATGTGGATTACACATCAAATCCCATTGTGCCTTTACCTGCATGTTTGGAGGGGTCCATAGTGTAACAAACAAAATGATTGCAGATTTACCCTATCCGCTGTAATTTGCCCATACTTTTCAAGTGATATAATTATTTAATTTATCTGCACGCTTACTACCAATGGGTAGCATTGAGGCAAAGAGCCTAGAAGGATTATTAAAAAAGTTATTCTTAGAAGTTTAAGAGATTATATATTTATAGAGATAATGATAAAAGCCACCATTACATAAGAGAGTATAAAAATATGAGCAATATGAACTCTTATGCGTCAGGAGATAAACAAACTATGAACTAAGAGAGGTTAAGGAAAGATTTATATATGTATAACTTGGAATCATTGTCTCTTCCATTGAAACATCTGGTACTGGCCACTGTCAAAGGCAGGATCCAATCTTAAATGCATTTAGTTTAAATCGGTTTATTGAACTTCTGTCCCAGATTTCTTTCAGATTCAAGTTAACTCACAGTCCCCCAGCATCCCAGGACCCTTGGCACCTTCCCAAAAAAACCCTCTCGCAGGGTGGGCGGGATAGCCTTGGCCCAAACTGGCTGCCCCAGCCAAGTAGGGAGGCATGCTGTAGTGCCCCTCCCCAGCTCCTGGCCTGAGCCACTGCAGGCATGTGGCTGCATTCCCGGAATGAAAACTGAATGTCTGTTCATTTGCTTATCAGTTCAATTTATGCAGCTCAGACTAATCTGCAAAACTGAATCGATTCAGCCTCGAGATTTTTGACTGTCTGTACTTGGCCCCTGTGTCAAATCTCTCTTCAGATATGGTCAGAAATGTCTGAGAAAAAATGTGCTTTCTTAGTTTTCCTTTTCAGCACACCTTCATATTTTTCCATGCCCATATTTGAAAAGTGGACATTTCCTTTTTCTTCAATAAATATTTCCTCTCTAAACTGAAAATAGGATTGCAAAGAATGAGACTGTGTTTGTCTGAGGATCAGCACTGTTCCAGATATTTCTGTGAAAGAGAATACTTTTTTCTGTCTTCTGCCTTTATACATGTTAGAAAACACTACTAACATCTGTTAACACATGGTTTTAGAATGGATACACCCCTCTCCACATTGCTGCCAAGAAGAATCAGATGCAGATAGCCACTACTCTGTTGAGCTATGGAGCAGAGACCAACATTTTGACCAAGCAGGGAGTGACCCCACTTCATCTGGCTTCTCAAGAGGGCCATGCTGACATGGTGACCCTGCTCCTGGAGAAAGGATCCAATATCCATGTAGCAACAAAGGTAATGCCCACTCACAATTAAGGATAAGCTGTTCTGGGGATTATATCCAATGATATCACCTGCAAAGTGAAATATAGAAATATAGCCAACTACTTAGAATATTAGCCTCAACTTCACATTCATGTACACATACAAAATATCAAGAGATGGGAAATATGAGGAAGCAGGGACAGGTGGGTGAAGGGCAGCAGTTGAGGGTGGCAGGGGCTGGTGGAAAGAATCACTAGCTTGGCTTGGAATCATAGCATTAACAGCTGTCCTGTGTATCCTAGGGGAGGAGCTGCAGCTGTTTTCCATGTCCAGTAGAAAATGATATAACAGCTGGCTCAAACAGAGATGTGGGTTTGACAAAGAAGAAAAGAGACAGACCAGGAATGGAGCTGTAGAGCCAACCATGATCATAGGATTGCAGTGCTGCAATCTTGTTCTGCCCTCTGGGCTGTCCCTGATATGTTGCCAAAGTGGCACAGGAAATGTGAAGCTTTAATGTAGAATGCTAGGTCCTGTGAGTTATTGGATTGATGTAGTCCTTTGAGGCATGTCATAGAATTGCAGTCCAAAGTAACAGAAAGCCTAAATCACTGGAGTACTTCTCTCCAATATATTTTGCCATCCACCCTCCTTGCTGGGATGGAAGGAACTGGTAATGTTTGGCAGAAAGTAACATGGCATTGTAAGGAGAGAAACTAATAAAATAGTCATAATGAAACCCACCTGGATCTGTTGGGTTGTCTACAAGAATGCATGCCAGTTCTTTCGTAGAAGATCACTTGGTTCCTCAGAAAAGCATGACAGGGGGCACATCTATATGTGCTGTTAATGCGAAGCAATAAACTCCAGCATAGTTTGTGATAGAGTTTATTGTTCCTGAGTGCCACGTTTACATGTGTGCCCAGGACCGTAGCATGTTGATCTGGGACAAAACAGCCCTGCCTAGAGGGAGCCTAGGGGATCAGCCTGCCAGCCTGGGGCTGCTCCAGCCTGGCTCAGTATGCTGCAGAGGGGCTGGCTGGGACAGGAAGGCAGTCCAGTGTGGGGCTAGCCAGCAGGCAACCTCTGCACTGAAGCACTCTCATGCCCCAGCCAGTCCCATCAGCATCTACACACATGCGTTGTGGTGCACTAAGTGATGTTGCCATAGGATAGTACTTGTGTTGACAAGTACTAACCTACAGACACGTTTATTAGTTCACAGTAGCCTAATAGGGCTGTACGTATAGATACTGAGACTTTATTGTGGAGCTAATTAGGCAGCTCCTCAGTAAACATCTCATGTAGACATACCCAGTAAGTCTTTAGATGATGCAGTTTCATCCAGCTGCATGATGATACAGAATATTATATTCTTAAAGTATTGTCCTTGCATTCACAGCTCTCAGGAGTGAAAACTTATTCTCTGCCTTTCTTCTAAAAAATGGGGAGTAAATTGTTTTCCCATCCTCATATTCAGTTCATAATCAGATCTTTTCCATTTCCTTGCATGTGATGCAAGGAATGTGTGTTAAGCCTAACATTAGCTCTTATTTTAGGGTTGCCTTAACTTTCTCATGGGGCATTTCCTTTATTCTGACTCCTACCTCTAGCAATTAAATCTTTTTTCTCGCAGTTCAGGAAGGAGGCATATCTCCCAAGAGAGGAGGCCATCACATTCACTGGAGGCATTATAATGTAAAGTCCAGATCTTGTAATTGTAGTCTGAAAACATGTATCTGCAGTGACAATGGCATTTCATTATGGTGAGCTGTTTGTCAGTTTTCTGTGGATAGAGTTCCTGGTTAAATATCTATATTTTTAAATTATAGACAGGATCACCCAATGAAGGATTCAAAAGTCTTTTTGCCTTTCTACTAGGGTAACATTACAGTTCTCTTTGCCTTTCTGTTGTAGACTGGACTGACATCTTTACACCTTGCTGCACAGGAGGATAAAGTGAATGTAGCTGATATACTGACAAAGCAGGGAGCAAACCAGGATGCTCAGACAAAGGTAAACCATAAAAAGAAAGCTTCTTCCCAGGTTATCTTTATACAGGAACAGTACACTGAGACTACGGGTTTACTCTTTGTGTTTTGTGTTTTTGTTTGTTTTGTTTTAGCTGGGTTACACTCCTTTAATTGTAGCTTGTCACTATGGAAACATCAAGATGGTGAATTTCCTTCTCAAGCAGGGAGCCAATGTCAACGCTAAAACAAAGGTAACGGATTTTTCATCACTTTTTTTTTTTAACTTGTTTTGGTGAATTTCCTTCTTGTTAAAAAAAAAACACAAAAAAACCCCCAAAAAACCAAAAAACAACCCTCAGATACTAAGACACAAGCACTACTATTCCCCTCTCCTTGGGAAATTTTGCACTAGTTATGCATAGAAGGTGTTGACATCTGATGATATGTGGCTGTGGTAGAATGAGCTGTCTCTGCACTCCTTTGGGGTGTGTTATTCATTAAAACAAGTCAGATCAATTAACTGCGTTTGTGTGTCGGTGCCTGCACATTTGTGACTGTATGTGAAAGGGGATCTGCTTTGTTTTATTTTTCTTTAACTTTTACTTATCCCAAGCCCCCGTAAGCTTACGTCTGGCTGACTCTCATGAGTTTTACATCTGTGTAATCAATAGGGCTGTGAGAAACTTTGGTCCCTGATTTGATTTGGCGGAGATCCGGTGTGATTTGGTGGCTGAATCTCCGAATCCAAATCGAATCAGAGGACCCTTTAATTTCTCTAAATCAAATTGGAACCCTCTGAATCGATACGGAGAGATTCAGAAAGATTTGGAGATTTGGACATAGAGACAGCTTTAAATACATACCTCAGGGTACCAGGCGGCTTGTGCATTCTGTGATGCTTGGGTGTATGGAGTGTCCCACAGAAGTATGGGGGGCTCCCCAGCACGCTTGGCACAAGACCCAGAAGTGGACCAGAAGCACTTCCGGTCCGCTTCTGGGTCCACTGAAGAGTGCACAGGTGGCCCCCCCATGCACCCTGTCTCGGTGACTGGTGCCTCCTGGGTCTGGGGGGGAACCCATGGTCCCCCTGCAGCCAGTCACTGAGCCAGGAGGGCATGGGGGGGCCCACTTCCAGGTTCACCAGCGAGCATGTGGAGGCCTTCCCCCCCCACACTCCTGTGGGACGCACCATGCACCCCAGCATCACAGCATTCACAAGCCAGGCTTGGTACCTCAAGGTATGTAGAAAAAACTTTTAAAGCTGTGTCTTTTTACCAAATTGCTGATTCTGTGAATCAGCATCCAATCTTCAGATTCGGATTCAGCCAAATCGAATCATGGACAGTGACCCGGATCAACAAATCAAATCACTGTCCCTGATTCAGGCAGAATCCAAATCGAATAGGGCCCACTTCGTACACCCCTAGTAATCAACTGACTTCAAACGAGCTACTTCTAATACACACCAGTATGAGTGAGACCAGAACAAGGCCCTATAAGATGTGCTCTAATGTTGAGAACTCTGAAGCTCCTGAGAATATGCAACTACTGTGCCCACAAATTCATGCTGTGTCACACATGTCATCATGTCACTTGCATCAGGAGAGGACCCTGGTGCTCTAGGCCTTACTTCAGACTGGAGTCTTGTCAATAGCCTATTCTTGCCATTTGGTGTAGTAATATACTTACATGGCTTCCTTTTGGGGTCAGTGATGTTCACTTGAGGGCTCCAATGGCACATGTGATATTTTTGAGTTCTGGTCAAAACCACAAAACTACTTGTGGTTTTGCGAATCCTTGATCGTTCCTGCTGACTCGTCTGTCTCCAGCTGCTCACACGTACCCTGGATTCACTCCTCAGACAGGTGTTGCAGCTAAAAACAATGCCAGTGGCAATAGCAATACACAAAAACCCACATTGGTAGACATACAGTTAGAGCATTTCCAGTGTGGTTACTCACAATTGCTGGTACAAACCATATAGGTCTTTAAAAGAACTGGAAAAAACACTTGTAACACCCCAAAAAAAGAAGGACCTAATAATCCACATTAAAAGCAGACTGTGATAAGTTATCAAAATGGCTAACAACATGACAGCTTCTAGCACTCCCACCTGCAATGTAAAGAGATGAGTATTTGCCTCTTACCTGCTAGGTATCATCATAGGTAGGGACCACTGGAATTCATAATGGAAGTATACTGTGTGGCAGCTCCTTTAATCTTGCAGTTTCCTCTCCATGCCCTCCTCCCACTGATGGGTGGAGGGGCCGTGTTGGCCCCGCCATGCACTCCTTGCTTCTGATGGCTGGGAGATGAAAATTACAGTTTTAAATATGCAGCAAGTAGCCCCTTCACCAATCAGCAGCAGGAGGCAAAAACCATGGCCTATTTAAAACCGCAGTTTTCACCTCCCCACTGATCAGGGTCGTGCGGCAGGGCCCCTTCACCAATCAGCAGCAGGAGGCAAAAACCATGGCCTATTTAAAACCGCAGTTTTCACCTCCCCACTGATCAGGGTCGTGCGGCAGGGCCCCTTCACCAATCAGTGGCAGGGAGTGGGGGAGGGATGGATGGATGGACGGAGGCAGATGGGGGAAACTGCAAGATTAAAGGAGCTGCCGCACAGTGCAGTTCCGGCACAAATTCCAGTGGTCCCTAATCAGAGATCTCAATGGGGCTCATTGGCTCAGCTTGTGGTGTCACTTACCCTGATTATACCATTTGTCTAGAATAAACATAGTCAATTTGTCTTGAATAAAAAGAGACTAATTGGAATCAGAATCTGACCCCTTGCCTTTCCAATAACTCATGTCTAAGAAAACCTTAAAAAGCCTAACAGTGGAGCCACTTAACTCCTGGCTAGAGTCACAGCAGACCTGTTAATAATAGCTGGACAGCACGCTGTTGTGGTTCCTTCCTGAGATGGAGAGAGCTTTCAGGATGTTGGGTGGCATGTCCAGTGAAAAAATGATGTGGCTGGACTGAATCCTATGAGATTGGGCTGATATTTAAGTAATGGCTGTTGCCAATATGAAACACCATGACCTCTAGTAAACCCTTATTCTATATCATCATTGTTATATGCATGTGTATCCTAAATAGCAGACGGCTTACTAAAGTACCAAGAATTATTGTCTCCCATCCAGCCACAGAAGAGATACACGCAATAGTTTGAGGTACACACCAAAGTCCAAAAGATTAGTCTGAGACCCCTAAGGCTTTCACATATAAATGGTCAGATGAAATCAATTTGGTGTTTTCTCCCAGTTTTATTCTCTGTCCTCATTCAAAGCCAATTGCAGATAATTTTGGAAATGAACTGCCTGACTGGATTCATACAATACTAGCTCAGATCAGCAAGCTGAAGATGAGACTGGTTATGTTTCTGTATTGTGTAACATCAGAATGGATCAGTGGAGCAGATGAATACTCAGAATTAAAGGATGTTTTCTGAAGACCATGCAAATATTTTTCATTGCTTCTGTGGCATAGCTGGACCTGCTCTAGACAAATCCAAGAGGAACTAAACCAACATATCTAGTAGAATTAAACAGTTGACTTCTGTAAGAATAAATGGACTTAATCAGTATAAATTAAATTGCATACAAAATTGTCCCAAATGCTGTTAAAGGCAGACTCCTTACGTACCTTAAAAATGGCCTTGCTTTTCTCGTGATTCACTCTCCAGCCTTGGACATGGCTTCTCTGTTCCTTGTTACATATGTGAAACCAAGATGCCAATGCCCACCTTTGAAGATCGTTAGTCTTGTTAGATACTCTACAGTTCAAAATATTGTGAATATTTATGGCTTCAGTAAGTAATAGAAGGACTAGATAAGACTATGGCCATGTGTAGACGAAACAAGGGGTGTGTGTGCATGACACTTTAAAGTGGGCTAAATGCTTTTGCACCACTTTAATGGTGTCGATGTTTGCACGCCTCGGCGGAGTATTGCGCATTAATTCCAGCCGCTGTAGGAAATTCGGTGGCATAATGCACCTTAAATGACTTGGGGCACAGCAAACTAAAACTCCTTTGAGGAGTTTGCTGCCCCTACAGCTGTGAAGCAAAGCGCCAGGCTCTGTGCAGCTCCATGGCTCTGCAGGAAGCCCTGCCTAACAGCAGCCCGGGGAAGCAGCTCCACCCAAGAAAAGCAGCGAGCCTGATCTTTTTTTTTCTTCCTCCCCTGAAGCCTGCCTGCCTTCCTGAGCTGTGCGGGGGCCTGGTGCTTCCCT